GACTCAGAAATCGCTGGCTCAAAGAGCGACAGTAAGGAGAAACCAGTGTCTTCTACGAGCGTTGGTATTTCTGATCACGAAAAAATACCTTCGATATATTGCATTGTCGCATAGGATCCGCAACCCGAGATTTATTCTCCAAAATATTCATTGGACAGAGCTAAATGATTCCAAAAATGAGGGCACAAAACTACGAAAATGAAAGATGCTGTATGCCATGTCATGCATCTACTGGGGCAAGCAGATTCACTGAAGGAACGACTAGTTAAATGAGGCCCCATTTTATATGCGATACTTAGAGTGTGCAAACCATGTTGTCATGGTGATTTAAGAACAACTGTTTAAACAAACAAACCTGATGGAATAATTTCCTCGGTCACTGGTTGCTGTGTGCGAGCGGAAATCATAACGCTATCCTTTGATCAGGAAGAAAATAGTGAAAAGATATGATAGCACTTTTTTCAGTAGTTAATATAAACCCATATCCAAGTTGGTGAGTTTATCAGCGAGTTTTTATCTTAGACACGGCTGCATTGAAAGGCATTAAACGTAATCGCAACTTTGATCGCTAATGCATAGTTAGTCTTCGCTTTTGGCAGCATGACAGATTTTGTCAACAACCGCAAATGCCCACGGATGAAGACTATGCCGTACTTCATCGTGCAGCACGATTCAGTTCCGCTTTAGTTACTGCCTCTTCAAAAGGAGGACGAGGGCTCGAATTGCGTACAGTACCTCATACGTGTGCCCAAAGATCTCATCGTTATTCACGCGTTTATCGGTGCAATCTCTGTCACTTGTTATCAGCTGGCTACGTTTTTATCGATGAACTATCAGCCAATTATAAGCTGCTGCTCGCTTCTGTCGAGAGTCAGCTTTGCCTACACTTCAGCTCAAGTTCGTTTTTTCCCATTTAGGCACAACCAGTCAAGGAATGGCGGATTGACCATTGGAAGTATTTCTATGCAGGTATATTTAAGCAGTTTGGTACAGTCCTGTTTACTCTGCAACATTCATTTCTCTTTATGATTTTCATGAAGCATGTTCGATTGAGAACTCGCATATTGTCTTAGGCATCGCTAGATTTCGGCACCTTTATAAACATCCCCTTATATATTCAAAACCAGACCTAAGCTTTGAAAAGTAATTGCTGGTGAATGATTTCGTATTCTAGTGGAGAAGGATGGAAGAAGGGAGTTTTTCTCGCTGCTGTGCTGACAGCCGTAGATTAATCCATTGATAGCACGCAAGAGACCACCACCAAATCTGCTCGTTACTTTCGTGATTGATTAATACAAAAATATCATAAATAGCGAATAAACCCCGTATTACAGTCAGGTGCAACCATCATTGGCATTACTGTCCTCTGAGGCCATTTCGTCGATAATCAAAATAAGATAACATCGGTTTTGTCAAACATTGTATATGCGGAGTATGTCATGTGATGGTAGACATTGTTTAGAGCAATGAGCAACTTTTGCAACTGCATTAGTTTTCGAAGCATCATGTCTGTCCTCTTACAAGGGCAGGTTTGAACAGTGCTTCAAGCGAACATAACAGCAACTACAGCTTGGATGCACGTTCTGCTGCGCATAATATTGAATAACGTGCTTCCAGATGGATATAGACGAATTTTGGCTGATTGAGGCGCCTGTGTTACACAGCACATCTGTAGCTATTGCCCATGCTGGTTTAGCCACATCAAAACATCATCCTGACTCTGTTTTTCGTAAGTCAGGGACTTGTCACGTATTTGATACGACTTGTACCTTACAATTGTTGGATTCATAGTCAAACAATCGACCTGTGGTCGAGGTCATGTAAAAAACTGGATAAAAAACTTTTATTGCTAACTCATGTCGCCATCACATGTCCCCTGAGGAGGAAGCACCCTGCCGATGCTATCGATGTAGCAGCACAGTGTGTTGGCAGCGATCTCGACCATTCGAAACAACTACGTGTGGCGTTTCCCGGAAATTCGTCAGGCGAATTGTTGTTTTCCGAAATGGAAAAACAACAACAAAGGCTCCTCAACGATTCGTCAAGACCAAGGCGGTCGTTTGCTTAAGCACATCGCAAAGAAAAGTCCAATTGAGCACTTTAATTTTGATTTTTGCCACTCCTTTCCGTATTATGTCGTTTGCATAATGCTATTTGTTGTCGTGCTTTGTTGGGCGTTAAGCGGTTCGAAGGTCGAAGGTGACGAATACAAGCAATCATCTGCCTTTGGTGCCAATACGTTCGTGTCTACGATATGAGCGACCGGACTGAAGCAGAGGTATCGAGAAGTTTTACCTCCTAACCAATGCAATGGCTATTTCGCCCGTCACTGAGTAAGTCCGTTTGCAACAAGTCGTTTTGCATGTGTTTCCTGGACTTAACTAAGAGGACGTTCGTTCCGTTGGTCGATTCCCTTTGAATCAGCCACATTCAAGAAACGCCCCCGAATCCGGATCACAGCTTCGCCGTTAAAAAATGCATGGCACACTTCGCCGGGTTCGGAGCTGGCGACCGGTGGTGGTGGGTAAACGAAACACCGGCTACCGGGCCATCTGTCGTCCGTCACCGGCCATCATTGTGCTAGACGGCGGTTTTCCAGTAATCCGGCGAACGGACGAACAAAAACTAATGGCTTGCGAACACGACGCAGTGTTTGACAAGTGTCGATCAAACAAGTTCGGCCGAAACTTCATTGATGCCCACCGCCACATGCTGTGAACTAATGGACAATGCTTGAAGTCGGAGCCGGCGCTCGTGATTTGTCCAATCGTCCGAACAGGTTTCTGAAAAGCTGACCTGTAATTAGCGGCGATGGGCTTCTGCCAGACGACACTGAAAGATCTTCG